TAAATATTCACAAGTTCCCCAAAAAATTCGTAGTTCATCAATAGGGGGAATTCGGTAAAGTTAAAAAGCTCCGACAGTCTTTTTCCTTCGTGCGGCAGACGTCAAAGTTTCTCGAGAAAGTCAAAACCCGGGAACGGGAAAGCTCGGCTAGATGTGGATGATTACCGTACATTCGGGCACGTGTATCGGAATGTGAATTCTGTCAAAGTTTCGAGGAAAAATCAATTCTTGCTGAGGGATCTCTTTTTATCGTAAAGTTTCGCGGCCATTTTGATCGCAAATATCTCAGAAACTGTGAATTCATAACGCTCTTTCGGAGGGTTTTTCAGGTGTTCCTCAGTCAAATTATGCAAAAATACGTGGCATATTACACCGTGAAATGAAAATTGTAGCTTTTAGAGAGAGAGAGAAGAATGAATGCCTAGGAAATCCGAAATTATCAAATGATCGATCGTCTCACATCGCTCCTCAAAATCCAACGCTAGGCACTATTCTAACACTGTGGGAACCCTAAAGGGAGGAAAGGGTGTGAATCCTATATATTAAAATGCAAAGTTCCAAATCTTGGGGCATTAACTTTGAGAGAACCACCGGACCGATTTGCGTGATCTTTTTTTTAAATGAAAGCCCCTGAGCTGCAGATTTGCAGGCTGTGATCGTTTTTTCGATTATCTCAAATTTTCTCCCATAATTTTCTCAAATTTTCTTCGATGCATTAAAACGGAGGTCCGAATCTTTGGACGTTAACTTTGAGAGAACCACCGGACCGATTTGCATGATTTTTGTTTTAAATGAAAGCCTATGATCTGTAGATTTGCAGGCTGTGATCGTTTTTTCGATTTTCTCAAATTGTCTTACTTTTATCGACGAGTGAAGTTTAGCCGGGCTCAAATTTTCTCCCATTTATTCAGACTAAAGTCCGCATGTTGGGACATTAACTTTGAGAGAACCACCGGACCGATTTGCATGGGGTTTTTTCTAAATGAAAGCTTCTGATCTGTAGATTTGCAGGCTGTAATTGTTTTTTCGATTTTCTCAAATTTTCTTACTTTTATCGACGAGTAAAGTTCAGCTGTTTCGAGCGGTCATCTGGCCGCTACCTGCTTGCCCGTCCCTAGATACCCCCTCTAGGGTCTCAGCCACCCCTCCCACCACGTTCTTTCGGCTATCTCCGTTTTCTTTCGTATGGCTTTCCTCCCACCAACCTCAAAGAAGGTTTGGGTCGCATTGTCGTTCGTCACTCACCACCCACATTCCGTCGCAATCTCTCGGCTACTCCGCTTCACCACTTCTTGATAGGCATCCTGGCGGTTTGACTGACCCTGACTTATTAACTGCAGCGTTGCGCACACGTATTGCTAACAACATGTATTTTTATGGACATTGCATTCTTATTTGTTCTTTTCTCTTGACAACTTTGTTTCAAATTTGCTTGATACTTCGTTTCTTCCTCTCTCTTTATTTTGTTGGTCGGTCGACTACGTTGATCGGCTTTTTGCTATTGAAAACACATTAAGACTTCATGGAATTTCAATATCATCATTATTGATCTTCCGGAATTGCTTCCAATCAACCTGAATCTTCAAGGGTCGAAGCCTGACTCTCCTCCCCCTAAAACTATGATTCCATGATTTCTGCCGTTAACCCAGAGCAACATCAAATTATTTCTGAAATAATTAATCTCATCCAAAATCCATCTTACACGTGTAATGCGATTTTCATTGATGGTCCAGGAGGATCGGGAAAAACTTTCGTTTAAGAATGTCTTACTGCGTATTGTACAGAGGAAAACTTAGACGTCATCTCCGTTGCTTGGACAGGTATCGCCGCATCGTTGCTACCTAACGGTCGGCCGGTTCATAGCAAATTCAAAATTCCTTCGGTTCTGAATGAGAATTCTGTGTCGAGTCTGACGGTTAGCTCAAGAGAGGCTGAGACTATTCGAAAAACAACGATCATTTTTTGGGGTGAAGCTCCCATGGTTATCACGCATGCTCTGGCATGCATCGACCGACTTCTTAGAGAATGGGTAATGATATCCCTTTTCGAGGAAAAATTGTCGTCTAGGGTGGTGATTTTAGACAGGTTTTACCCGTTGTTCCGCATGCTTCTCGCCAAACATTGGTGCAAAATGCAATCAAATTCTCACCACTTTGACCTCTTTTCAAAATCAGAAAACTTACTCAAAATATGAGAACTTTGCAAGACGAAGCGGAGTTTGCAAAATTTTAACTCGAAATAGGTGATGGTGTTTACCTTTCTGCTAAAAAAGGCCATGCCGGAATTCATTGATTTACCGACAAGCAGTATTACTGAAAGGAATTGATATTATTACTGAAATTTATGGAAAATATAGCTTCCTCATGTTCGAACGTAGATTTCACAAACTGCGCAATTCTGGCCTCTAAAAATAAGCATTGCGATGAAATTAACGACAAGGTTGTTGAAGTTCTTTCAGGTGTCTCTAAAACGTACTTCAGTGTTAACAGGCTCATTGTAGAGGAAGAGGGAGAGGCTCTCAATTTTCCCCTCGAATTCTTGGACAGTCTTAATCTTAGTGGCTTACCACCGCATAAACTCACACTTTTGGAGGGGGTTTTTGTCATGCGTTTAAGAATTCTCAACGTTTCCAAAGGTTTATCGAATGGTGCCCGATTGATCGTCTGGAAACGTTATGAAAATTGTCTTGATTTGCAGGTCATTTCCGGCGAGAAGGCCGGTGAAAGAATTTCACTGCCAAGAATTGATTTGTCACCTGCAGACTCCTCTGTCCCTTTCTCTTTTAAGAGGCGACAATTTCCAATTCGCATTGCGTTCTGCATGACCATCATCAAAGCTAAGGGTCAAACACTGAAGCGAGTCAGCATTTATTTACCCCAAACAGTTTTTGGCCATGGTCAACTATATGTTGCACTCTCACGAGCTACATCGTACACAAATTTTGAAGTCCAAATTCTTCCCAAAGGCAACCGTACGAAAAACATCGTGCACAAAGAGGTGCTTCGATCTTTTATAAATCCCAAAAGCCTCATAGTCAATAGAAAATTATCAAAAAATAAAAATAAAAAATAATTAAAAAATAACACAAAAAAAGGAAAACTAATAATGCGAGCTTTTTACAACATTTTTCGGTAGAATGGCAGTCTCCACCCTGTAACGCAGAGAGGCAGTTAAATTCCTTGATCTTTTGCCGCAGAATCATCATCATTATTAAATAGATTCAACTAATCGCTCCCATTCCAAATAAGCTACCGCACCACTATTGCTAGCTGTGGAGGGCGCCCGTAGGGCGCCCGGAGCAGCTAGTTCTTAATGTTTTTTTTAGAGAGAATTGGCATCACTGGCTCCGAAGTTTCGGCAAGGAGGTTTCTAATAATTCTTTGTCGGTTTATTTTACCTCTCACTTTTCCGGGCTTCCCAGGCTCAATAATAAGTTCTTAGACGGCGCACAGTGGAGTCAGTCAATTGGAGGGGTCGGGCATGAAATTTTTAACTAAAACTGCAATTTTGGACGTTTAATTTGTCACATATTAGATTTTGCGAGGTACCTCTAAAAGTGAATTTCACGAGGAAATCAATATAACAACTTTTAAAACCTCAAAGTTTTGAATGAACGGAGTTATGAGCTTTTAAAGTTGCCACATTTTGTCCGATGTCTCTCATTGACTCCATCCACCGCGCGGCGGGTTCACGCGCTACACGAACCATCAGAACTGGCATCTATTTAATACGGGGAAAAAGTCATTTCTCTACGTCAAATCAGTACAGTTTACAAAAAAACGAGAGTAACTAGAGGACGAGAAATCTCGCACCCGCCGAAAAAGTATAATTAATGGGAAAAAACAACAACAAAAACTTTGACTCAAAGCAGGAGGCAACGTGTCCTCGCTTCGAACAAAATATAATTTTTTTCTGGGGGGGGGGGGGGGGGTGGCGGCAATGGACAAGTTGCCCCTTTTTCTCCTCAGCGGCACGATTATCGAAACTAAGTCGGCAAGACAAGATTAGACATGGCTCTATCATTACCTTGCAATATGTCACATACCGATGTCTAATCGGGCTGCTGTAAACTAACTTTCAATAATCGGCCCGAAGGCGAGAAAAATTGATATTACTCATTTAAGAAAAATAAAATATGAAGGCAATTCCAATTTTATGAACAGTGTGACGTAAGTGGGTCCAATATGACGTCAATATTCCTGCAAAATCCAAAATTCCACGGTATCGAAAATAAGTCGCCCTTTATTCGACAAAAAAATTGATTCAAAAACTTGTTGAAGTTTGGCATTCTTCCACACGCCACACACGATTTTTTTGAGAAAATTAATGACAAAAATGTCGGTTTACCTACTTACGTCACCCACCTCACACCCAAAATGAAAACCCCTTATTTCTCTATGGCAATTTCTTTGTTTTCTGTTTTTCAGTGGGTGAGGGTTTTACATCTAATCTGAACAGAACTCCAAATATAACTTGAATAAAATGAGCTTCGAAACTTAAAATTAACGCGGCTCCTTGACCTCTGTAACTTGAACTTAATTGCGCCGGAGATGCGTCGGTAATCAGTAAGCATTTAGTCATTGTTGAATCGTAATCAGTATTTACCGCATAATTGTGATTCGATTGTTTGTTTATCCGTGAATGAGTCAATAAATAGAGCGAACGGGGGAGACATAATGCTGTCACGGTACAACGGACATCAGACGCACGCATTGAAAACTCCTCAATTCAACCGAGATCATCAGATATACATTACTTCAAAACGGGGAAAAAATAAATCTCGTCAGGTACAGAATCAGTACGCTAGCTGGCTGATCATGGAAATTGAACTTCCATGATCCGCTTGATCAGCTGATTTTGTTTTTCTCCATGAGCTTTATGACGCAAGGTTCATGCACTTTTATCGTTAGCTTGAGAGAAGAGGACTTCAAAAGACAGATGATAGTATGATATTTCACTTTTCTCTTAACTTAATAGTATTTTGAGGGTAGAAAACTTACCGGGCGGACATTCGCATTTGTAATTCAGAGCGTCGACTTCTTCGCAAGTGCCACCGTGACGACATGGCGACGGATCGCACGGTACGTACTTGCTCTCGCAGTTTTTACCCGTATAACCCGATTCACAGATACACCTGGAACAAAAAGCACAAGAAAAAACAGGTAATTCATCGCTGATTATAGACAATATACATTGACATGCAATAAACACTTTCAGAGGAGCCGAAAGGGTCTGTGCGTAACAGCTAAAGGGTCAGTTGCGGTTGTCACAAAATCTATTTCGATGCTCGACTCTTGTAGTTCTGCTAAGAATAATAAGATCTGCCTCAACAGCAACTTTCTACGTTGGATATTAACCGAATTATCGCGCTTTGAAGAATTCAGGTTCATGACGTCATCCACCGTGGTGGTGACATCCTTGGTTTCTTCCGCCTTGCTTTCAACCGAGTTTCACGTTGCGAAACCGGTGAAAATGTGTGTCTCCCTCACAAATGAAAAGCAAGGTGGAAGAAACCATGGGTGTCACTACCGCGGTGGATGACGTCATACGACGAATTTTTCGAAGTGGATGTCTCGGTTAATATTGAACGTAGAAAGTTGCTGATAGGACGGATCTCGTTCAGCTGATCCGCAATCATACAATCCCATGACCAGCGCAACTGACCGACCCATTGTCGCGAATTTCTTTCCCACACACCTCAGGAATCCGACTGTCATAGTAACGTAAATTTTGTGTTATTGTTTGAGCTTGGAGATAGAAACAATGCTTTCGGACACGACATCACACAGAATTGAGTATTCTTGGGAAAAAAGTCGGTCAATGAGAGAAGTGAAAAACGAGCCGATCCTTTTGTGTTGATTCCGGCACAACAATGAAGAGCAGAACCGAGAAAACTCTGACTCGACCAAAAGTATGGATTACTCCGTGTTTTATTTCCGATATTATCCACATTTCTGGACCACTTTTCTAACTAACGTGCACGATCTGCGATAGGCGGAACTAGACACCTCGAACGGTGAGACAGGCGGAAGGGGGGGGGGTCCCTGGGCCTCCTCAAAAAGATTTCGAGTTATTGAAGCATTAAATATCAAATTCAAGTCAATTTCGTCATGAATAATTACATCATTAATGCGTCTCTCCTTCTCCTTTCCTCTGCTCCTTATTTTTTTCTTCCTACTTTTTCCCGGGCGAACGGGGGGCAGGAGGGGGGGAAGGCGACGGGCGACCCCCCCCCCCTTCCCCGGATACGTCTATGCACTCTGCGCTTTTGGTTGGTTAAGCTCAACACCTACATGAATTAATTGTGAAAGCTCAAACCTTCGAAAAACAACCTTTACAGCACAGGTGGCGATACTAAATCTCTCAAGTTTACGCGAATTTACGAGAATTGCGACTTGCGAAATCACGGTCCCCCCAAAAAAAGGAAGAGAGGAAGAATAAAAACGAGCACTAAACCGAATAAAGACGCAGAAAAAAGCATGGCGAGCGAACGAAAGGTGGTAGGAACGAGGCCGGTCCGACCCTCGGGCTAAAAGCGCGCAACTCGCGTTGAAACCCGACGGCGTTTTGCGGTTTCGGCTGAGGAGATGGGGCATGAAATGGCGGCGCACAATGGATCGAGTCAATTAAAGAGGTCGGACATGAAATTTTTGACTAAAACTGCGCATTTTCATGTTTATTTCGTCACATTTTAAACTTACAGGAGTGCTTCTTGCAGAAAATTTCACTAGGAAACCGATGAAACCATTTTCAGAACTTCAAAGTCACGTATGCATGGCGTTATAAGCGTTTAAAGTTTCCAAATTTTATCCGACCTCTCCGATTGACTCGCTCCACCGTGCGGCGTCGAGACTGTGGGAACCCGCACTTTTCGGCGGTGGCGACTTATTTTTATGCATAAGCGCGGATTACCCAAGTTTACGGAGCCGACGAGAGGGCTCTCGGAAGAAGCAGCGCACCGACCGGGGCATTGTTAAATACGAGCATGGCACTGTTTATAAAAACGTCTCGCCATGCAGCCACCCGTCCGTGACGTATCCGCCGTCCGCCGTTGCCGTCTCCAAAGACATGAATATAGTTAAAAGACACCACTAGAGTCCCTTTATACCGAGAGAGTAGTGCCATCTCAATCCTTTAACTACAGAAAAAGTGTGCCGCTCTCTGATTGGTCGGCTATCATGGAGCCCCTAAGTTGGACCAAAGTAAACGAACCCCAGCCCCTCCGCTCCTAGTTTGGCCCAATGTAAACAAACAAGATGGCGACAAAGTTCTAGACGTGATTTTCGTCTGTGTCCAATCCGCTATTCCACGGAGGAATACGGCGGCATTCCTGAGAAAACCAACTACGCACGAACTAATTACACCCAAAAAGATAGGATTTATAGTTCCTTTTGAAAGGAAATTCATTCTTATTTGGTTCCTCTCAGGATAAATACGTCAACTTGGCAACTCCGCTCCCCTCGTTCCAGGCTATGACCGCCCCCGCTCTACCGCTATTACCATGATTTACCATGATTATAATTAATGAACCAGGATTGATGGCTAGAGATCCACGAATCGTGAGAAAAATCGAGCGTTCCGCACAAGGAATGTCCACTGCTGTCATCACATCCCAACCAGAGACAAAACGTTCTGAAAGATTCCACTTTGACGATCAAATCATAAGACACCGCCCTCAAGGGCGCAGGACACTTCCAGATTTTTTGACCTTCCTCCAGATAACCCCGTTAAAAATTACCAAATCCCTGACTTTTTGCTTTTCCCTGGCCCCGAAATTGCAGAATGGAGATGTTGCATGTGTGAGGAATTTGCGATTTGACCACTCCCAAGCTCAAAAAAAGCTCTCAAGTTGAGGCAAAAATGGAGGGGATATCCCACGCTATCCTGAGAGTCCACCTATACATCAAGACAAACTCTCCATGCAAAAATAGTTCCATCGGGTTCGTTTGAATTGTGACTAAATAAACATAAAAAAGAGCAGTTTTAGTCAAAAATTTCATGTCCAACTTCTCAGATCGACTCGATCCAGTGCGCGGCAACACGCAATCCGCTGCGTGCAACGGCTTCATACGGCGTGAGATAAAAATATTGCTCGCGCTTAACTGGATACGTAGCGCAGCTTTTAAGAAGGGGAGGGGGGGCGGTGGGTCCCGAGTATGGGTCGCAGAGTGGAAATTCGTAATTGTATTGAAAGCGCGGCGGGCATTGATTGCGGTGGTGCGTGAGACGAGGGCAAACTAGACCGTGAGATTGGTAAGATCGCGCATGCGCAGGCGCTCCCATCAGGATTTCGTCACCTAGGCCACGGCTGCGGGGGGGCGATGCAGTTTCTGGTCATCGGGGCTCGCGAGAAATTCCGCACGTTTTCGGGAATAATCGCGAAAGCCGGACGGTGTGCTCGCCTCCCTGTTCCGTCGTCTCCAGTGGCGTGGCGTGCTTTGCGATATATCGATCGTTTTGCCATTTAAACCTATGGAAAAGGATCGATAAACAAGGTGTTCGCAGCGAACACCTTAATGATCGATTCTTTACCATAGGTTTAAATGGCAGATCATTCGATATATCGCAAAGCACGCCACGCCACTGGTGGTCTCGGTTTCGTCGAGAATGGGTCAGTTGCGCTGATAGCAGAATCAGGGTGTCCAGGGCCGGATTCACCTACTTGCCGCCCATGGGCCGCCTATATTTTGCCGCCCCCTTCTCATTCGTTTTGAAACTCGATAAAAACCATCACGTGAACGTGCCAGCGGGGGAGGGGTGCATAAGACGCATTAACTCGTGTTGAACACATTTTTTTGGGAAAGCCCTGTCAACACTACTAGCAAAAGTTCACGGAACTTCAAGCTAAAGTTAAGTTTCGTAAACCTACCTCTGTGTGGACAAGGCCTTCCATGTTTGGCACAAAGCGCGAAGTATTCAGACAGTCTTGTAGGCGCTATGCGTTTCAGCCGACCGCTGCTGAACGCATTGTGTTGGACGCAATGCGTGAAGTATTCACGCAGTCTTGTAGGCGCTATGCGTTTCACGCTGACCGCAATGACCGCACTGTGTTTGATGCAGTGCGAGAAGTATTCGTGCAGTCTTGTAGGCGCTAATATGTGTTACATGCCGATCGCCGCGCCGAGGGCTTCTCCTTTTCATCTCAAGTCCTCGTTATCATTTCTCTCTATTTGTAAGTCGCGCCGTTCCAGGCCAAATAGCGTGTTTGGTTTCTCTCTTAACTCGACTAATTGAAGGTACTGTCTCTTGTATCACTAAGAGACGACAAAATTAGAAATTACTATACTCTCAGTAAATGAGGGATTTTGTCGTCTTTTCTCGTTTGTAACTTTTTTTTTTGTAAATCTGATTTTTTTTAACACCTACACTTAAAAAAATTGTAAATTTTTGCCGCCCCATAGATTTGCCGCCATAAGCCGCGGCCCACCATGTGGCCACCCCCTCGATCCGGCCCTGACCAGTTATAAAAAACCAAAATCGGGGACTTCCAGGGACTTTTAGGGGTGTTTATTCGAGAGAATCGGGGACTTTTTCTCGAAATAGTAAGAGGAAGGGAGCTCGTCAGAGCGTTAAACCGCGTATTTTATAAGACTAATTTTACGAGTCATGTTGAACCGACGAAAACATACGAAAATCTAGGCAACATCCCATTTTTTTTTCATGGTTATACCGCGCTGCCGAAGTTGGCGGGAAAATTTGAAAATGCTGGTGTTCGGGACGATTTTTGTCATTTTTTCGCAAATCGCAAATTCCTCACACATGCAACATCTCTATTTTGGAGTCATAGTCAATAATTTTAAAACGACGGACTCCTGGAAACCGTGGAGTTGGAGACGGGGGACGATACGGTGGAATCAAGAACGCATTGGCCTCTCTCTCGTTTCATTTAACTATTCCATCGTGATTAAGAATAAGAATATGAGCGCCCCGCACTGCCGTGCTAAGGAAGAATGCCGTATGAACCTTCAGGCGTTGCCAAATTTCCTTTGATAAAATGTTTATTTATGAGGAAAATTGTGAATATTTTTCCTTGAAATTTTCAGGAACGTTAGATTAAAATACAAACAATATTCTCTGAAAAATTGGAAGAAAAATATTCGTAGGTTTACCAGGAAATTCGTGTTTTACCGAAGAAAATTTGGCAACGTCTGAAGGCTCATACGGCGTTCTTCCTTAGCACGGCAGCACAGTATTATTCCCGGACTGCAATTGCCTTGAGTGACATTCATGCTCGCATTCCGTCCCGGCCGGGGGGACGGGGGAGTCGGCGACGCACTAATGGGCCGGGCGTTTAAACGGGCTCATTAATGCATAAATCGATGGCAGGAACCCGACGCGACCGAGAATTAGTAAATAAACCCCGGAACCGCGAGCACCAGCTCCCAAATAAATTTCATCTTAATTCAAGGCCCGCTCTCGCTTCTGATCCCGATTGATAATTATTTAAGTATCGCGGTGACGGTGACGCCGTCCACTAACGAGCCACCGTCTTGATCCGAAACCGCCTATCGACGCGGGGTTCTCGCCGGAGTTACGAGGTTCTTGATCCACGGAGCAGCGTCCGATTCTCACGGAAATACACAGGAATTCGAGGGCCTCGACGCCGGACATTTCGCCTGCGTTCGAAATCCTGGTCTTTCTTCGCTCTGAGTCATGGGCGACTTTCGTGGTGGGAAAATCGTGGGCCTCTAATTAGAATCGACGGGGTGATGGGAATATTCGATCGGATGGCTCCCAGTGCGGGCTGTTGTTGAAATCGGTAGATAAAGGGATAGACAAAGAAGGCGAAAAGGATGTGGAGGGATCCTATCGGTGGAAGCGGGTGGTTGCTGTGGCAGGGTGTCAACCGTACGGAAAAAGTACGGATACACCGAAAAATCACGGATTTCAGGAGGTCGGTACGGATTTTCCGTGGAGAGGTACGGAAATTCGAGATTTACGTGATGAACTCTATAAAGTGGTCCTGGGGATATGCAATTTCCTTTGAANGGGGGGGGGGGGGGGGGTCATAATTATATTATATTTTTACGGTTGAGTTTTAACCGTGTGTATTGTGGTGCATTATTAAACTAGCTAGTAATGTATGATGAAATTCCAATGTGCTTAATTTCCACGCTCGAAATTATCTGATGTTTATTTGTTTGAGCGAGTGCCTTCGGTTCGAAGAGCTACGGACCCGAAGGAGAACAGCTTTTTTTCGACTGGATTGTTGATGTCAAAACAGGAAAACTACATAATTTGTTCGCGAACTTTTTAATTTTGATACTTTCAGGTTTTGTCTCAAAACGGTCACACGTGCTCGCAATGAGCGAGAACCCTGGTCACCGAAGTTTCTTGACTTTACCTGTTTCCCTGAGCCTGTGTGTTCAACTTGATGACGACATTTCTTTCGGATTTTATCTCATTAAAAGGAGAGGTGGACTTACGTGTAGGATCCATGGGTGTTGAAGCATTTTCCTTTTTGGCAAGGCGAATTGAAGCACTCGTTGACGTCGTCGGAGCAGGTGGGGCCGGAAAACCCGGGGGCGCACGAGCACTGATACCTGTGATCCAACGACTCGCAGGTGGCGCCGTTGCGGCATGGTTGAGGCGCGCAGAAATCTTGCCGTTCACAATGACTCCCTGCAAAAAACAGAACCAAATTCCCAACATTAGTGAGGGGGAAAAAAATTACTTGCGCCAAAGGTGGTTATTTTGTAATTGAATCAGTGAGAACGAAAACACACCAACTCGAAAACAGTGCTCCCGTTCCATGTCAGTCAATTAGGATTCGGAACTTATTTGTTCCAATTTCTCCCACTCTATGATCGGTAAAAGTTCCAGGATTCCTTTTACATTTTTCAAAAGTTCCGAGAAAGTCCCGGAAAATGCAAAAGATCCGGAACATTTCGGGAATTTCTGCTACAGTTTATCAAGTTTTTCCGTAACTTTCCATTCATATTCCAAGGGTTTCGTGTGACTTTTCAAGGGTTTGTCCTAATTAAATTCCAATCATTTTCCAAGGGTTTCTTCCGGCTTTTCCAGGGTTTGGTCTGACTTTCCAAGCACGTATTTCCCTTTACTATTTCTCTGACTCTTTTGGAGCTTTCTCTGACTATTCTAGGGTTTCCTTTAATTTTTCTAAGGTTTTCTTCTCCGACTTATCCAGGGTATAGTCAGAGACTTTATCACGTTTCCTCCTAACTTTTTATTCATTTTCCAAGGGTTTCCTCTGACTTTCCAGAGTTTTTCCTAACTTTCCAAGCTCTGACTGTTCTAGGATTTTCTCTGACTATTCTGAGGCTTCCTCTGACTATTCTAGGGTTTTCTCTGACTATTCTGGGGCTTCCTCTGACTATACTAGGGTTTCCTCTGACTTATCCTGGGTAGTCAAAGACTTCATCACATTTCCCCCGGACAATCCATACATTTTCCAAGGGTTTCCTCTGACTTTCCGGAGTTTTTCCTAGCGTTCCAAGCTCTAAGCATTGAGGAAAGGTGACTTACCGGCGAATCCGGGGGCGCAGGTGCAGTTGTAGGAGTCGAGGGAGCGGAGGGTGCAGGTGCCGCCGTTCTGGCAGGGCTGGGAGTCGCACGAGTTCTTGATGGGGATCTCGCAGAGGGAGGCCGAGAACCCGATCGGGCACGAGCAGAAGAAGCCCGGGCTCGACTGCGGCGAGGTCCGCACGTGGCACGTCCCGCCGTTCTGGCACCGCGGGCCCGGACCCGTGTGGCACGGGTTCAGGTGCTGACAGTACTCCCCCACGTACATCGCCGTGCAGCTGAAACAAATCACAACAAACGCATTAGTCCACTAATTCAAACACTCGAAACCACAAAGGAAAAGTAGTCGCTTCAACCGGGGAGAAGATGGCTTCAGAAGCGGAACAAGAAGGAGCCGCGAGGACTTCAGAGATGAAGAGAGATTCTCAAAAAGAAAAGTAGTCGGTTCAACCGGGGAGAAGGTGGCTTCATGAGCGGAACAAGAAGGAGCCGCGAGGACTTCAGAGATAAAGAGAGACCCTCCCAGTGGGCTGGCTGTTGAAATTGATAGACAAAGCTATAGACAAAGAAGACATAGGGAGTATGAAGTGATCCTATTGGTTTAAACTGGTGGTCTTCACAGACTAAGAGGGAAAATGATAGACTAACTGCCGGGTCTCTTGTCGGTTGCCGTTAGCAAGTCTATTATCTACCTCTTCTGTCCATTGCAACCACCCGCTTCCACCAATGAGATCCCTCCGTATCCCTTGGGTTAGGAAGTGTTGACTCCCCGAGCGTACATGATTCTGAAGGGTCTTTCTTGGGGGATCTCTGTCGATCTACTTGGCCTCCTCCGGGAAAAGTGAAGGCTTTTGCTGAGTAAGTGTATCATATACCTTTCAGCCTCCAGAATCTTGATTAGACCTCATGGGCATTCGACAGTGGGGGACTGGACGACTGGCAAGTGGCTTGCGGTTTTGCGCCATGGGCGACCCTGCCGGTTCCGCTACGTTGAGACAATGCGCGAAATGAACACATGAGTTTATTGTCACCTTCTCGCAAATCGAAATGATTATATTGCTTTAGTCTGAGGTTTTTCTAGACTCAAGGCTGCATGAAACTATCATTCCGACTCACTTGATCGAAGCAAGACATTCCTCCAAGTTCGACTTTCACTTATAACCTAAGGCAAGGATTGTTCCTAGAGGCCTTCTCATTTTTTAGTGTATTATAGTGTATTTTTCGAAAGAAAAATACACGATTTTAATTGACCTGGCCATTTTTAAACCCCCTTTCGCCTCATGAATATCAATAGGATGACCACGTACAAAGAGTCGCGATTTTCACCGGAGTTTTGCAAAAAATATGGAATTTACGCCTTGATTGTGAGGAAAGTAAGCAACTTTGATGCTAGCGCAACCTCCATGTCTTCCCACTCGACCACTCTGCCAGCCGCGTAGTCAGGAAGTTTCAGCACCCCTAGCCCACAGGAAGATGAAATCGGCGCGAGTTTCTGCGAGATTTTATAACACGATGGGAAATGCGATGCAACCAAATGGAGAATTTGCACACAAAATTTTGATTGCTTCATCTGAAAGTACTTTAAGAGTTGATTTCACAATATTTTTTATAATTTTCTTCTGATATGGAAAATAGTATAGAAATAGATTTAAAATTGAGAAAATGCAATGCCTAGTGACGTCATCTCACGAAATCCCCATTCAAACACATGTATTTAAGCAGTTTATATCAGTTTGTTACATCTATTCCAATAATTGTTCAATTTATGAGCCGAGGGTACCTATCCTCGTGTTCAGTTCACTCAGGAGTTTCCACCTAACCACGAAATTCGTCAAATTTTAGACACCTGCAAATTCTCTATTGATCCCGCGTGACATTTCGAAAGTGAAATAAATTGCTTTCATCGGGAGATGTAGATCAAGCAACCTCATCTCGCGATACCGCCGACAGGAGAATAATACTCGAAATCAAGATCCCGGCTCTCGAGGCCCTCGAGGGTGGCCTTATGATGGCCTAATTGACGATTCAAGCTCCGCCGAAAAGCGTTCGGACGCGTTAAAACGCTCATCAATCAAAGCGAGGCTCCGGGCCCGCGAGAGCGTCGAATCCGATCGGTTCACCGAATCAAATGTCACTGGCTCCCGCAATTAAGAGACCGGGCACCTGCGAGCAGCCCAAGCAGCCCCGTTTCCAAATGTCAGCGCCTCCGAGCTTCGAACTCCGCGCCGCACAGAAGAACGAGCTAGTTGAAGAGGTCGGGCATGAGAGTTTTAGCAAAAACTACAAATTTGGATGATGTTTATTTCGTCACAAATTCAATTTTGATGGTTGTCACCGATGGGAAATTTCATGAGGAAACCAATGCAGCCACTCTTAAACAGGGTGTCTAGTATTTTTTAATTTTGAAAAATCCTGATGGTTTCCTAATTTTTCCTAATAATTTATAAAAAATTCCTGATTTTTTTATTTTGAAAATTCCTGATATTTTCCTGATTTTTCTCGTAAAAACTATATTTATTGCACAAATGCAGGCGGAAACTAAATTTTCTGACAAAGTGGGAAAAATTCCTGATAATACGTCCGATTTTTCCGATTTTCCTGATCGGCAAAAATTCCTGATATTTTCCAGTTTTTCCTGTTGCTAGACACCCTGTTAAACTGCCTTACTTCATATTTTCGATGATACAGGCTTTCAAAGTTGCCAGATTTTTTGCCGACCTCCCCCATTGACTTGGTCCATTGTGCGCCGATACGCGGTCGCGTTGGATGAGCCGCGACTCCGCGCTTTGGTCACTCCGGGCCGGATGAAATTGGGTCATACGCGTCTGTTCGGCATCGCAGCGCTTCGCACGCCGCAGCCGTTGATGAGGACATTTAAATCGAATTTTTACATACGGACGCAAGTCCATCTGAGCGTTACACAATGGCTCAACTTTTGATCGAGCGAAAAGGCGAGTTGTTTCTCACGGCCAGCTCAGAAATCACGATGAACGTATCGGGAAGTTGGGATATTCACGCGTAACTTTACAATCTACATACAAAATTGTATGGAGTGTCAATTGATGGCGTGGTGGGAGGATGACTGGAGTAATTAGACGGAGGGCTGGACAGGGTTGCCACAAAATTAAGAAAATGAAATTCCCTGATATTTTCCTGATTTCCCCGGCAAATTTAAATAATTTCACCTGACGATTGCCTTAAGACCAAAAAGACATAATTTGAAATAGTTTCCAGGTAAAATTTGTTGTTCGAAACTTCAAATACATTCTAGAGAGCAAATGAAGGGGATTTAACAAATTTTCCCTCACATTTTCGTCATTTTCCCTGACATTCCCCGGTTTTCCCTGAATATTTAAAATTCCCTGACATTTCCCGGTTGTCCCTGACAATAGCGTCGAATGCATTCTAGAGAGCTAATAAGGTTAATTATTAATCGTTCCCTGGGTCATTCCATTGTAACGGGTGTGACAACAATTTAACTTTAAACAAGAATTTGAACTCTTCTTGGGGTTTAATTAAAAAATTATCTGCAGTAGCAGAAAGAACTTTGTTTATAGATAATTTCAGTTTATCAGAAATTGTTTTTACTTTGTTCCATTCCTCAGAAAAAATTAAAAGGCATGCGTAACGGGTGTGACCGATTTTGGAAGTGAGTTTTTCCTCAGTGAGTGTAAAGTTGAAACTCAGCGAATTTTATGAATGTAAAAATCTGATTAAATTATATGATGAAGCCAAGGGTTTTTGCTTCAACTGCCGATCATCCGTTTTCGATTATCTGTTTTTCTTTCCTTGAAAAATGGGAAAGTTTGCGTAACGGGTGTGACGTAACGGGTGTGACAGATTGTCTCTCTGAGGTCCATCATTTCTGAGAGAGTTTAAAAGTTAAAAAACTTACTTTTCTTCTCATACTCTTATTGTAGGCAATCCTAAGCAGTAAATCAATCAACAGTTTGACGCATTTTAATGTAGAACATGCCAAAACTATATTTTTCTAAAAGGTGGCCCAGACCTACCGTTTGCGTCACGGGTGTGACGTAACGGGTGTGACAAATTGTCTCTATGAGGTCCATCATTTCTGAGAGAGTTTAAAAGTTAAAAAACTAACTTTTCTTCTCATACTGTTACTGTAGGCAATCCTAAGCAGTAAATCAATCATCAATATGACGCATTTTAATGTAGAACATGCCAAAACTACATTTTTCTACAGGGTGGCCCAGACCTACCGTCCCAGGGCTTTTCTTCGGGTAACCAGGATTCCCCTTTCGTCCCCGCAGTCCTGGACCTCGCATGGCCCAAATTTACCAAAAACAAAAACCCTGGCACGGTAGGTCTGGGCCTATGGTAAAGTGAAAATATTTCAATCAAATCAGAGAGAGTTCAACGAGTTCTATTTGAAGTCCTTTTGAGATAAGGTGTATTCACTTTAAATACTAAAATATGGCAAAAAAGTTGGCTATCTCTCTCTTATTAGATGTATACATAACATCTAATCATGCATATGAGTGTATTTCTTGTGATAACCACAGAAAAAATGGTGAGAAATGAGGCAACATTTGCATAATTGAAACCTCTCCTCATTAGTCACACCCGTAACGTGTCACACCCGTTACGCATTTTTGCCCATCAATTGCTGAAATAAAAATTTGGAAAAAATACCTAAAAGCTGTACTTGACTTGAAGACGTAGGGAAAAAATTGGTATCTCAAAATGACATGAATTAAAATAGTTACATTAAAAAATCCATGTTTTGCGTAACGGGTGTGACAGTCAGTACACTAAGTTTTAAAAGTTACATATAATATACAGTAATTACTTTTAAAAATTGAAACTTTGCGGGAGCACGTTGAATCAGTTTCTTGACAACTGCAAGCATAACCTGAATCTTGGTTTTGGCGGGAACACCAGACAACATTGCTACCAAACTATCACTCTTTTTACAGTAGGATGAAGCTAAGCAACGGGGTTACAAAACACGTAAAAATTGCGAGAAAAAAAACAAAACGGAGGTAAACCACATATATTTTCAAAAACTAGGAGTATTAAGGAGTCCAAAAATAAATATCGTTGGGTCATTTGGAGGGGGAAAAAAAATACCCCCTGGACTACCTAGGCGTGGAATGACCCCCCTGACACTTCAGTTATTTTCCCTGACTTTTTAAAATTCCCTGACTAAGGCAACCCTGCTCCCTGCAACGGAGCAGGAGCGAGTGCACACACGGCCTCCAAGGAAAATCATCATGAGCTCGGACCTGAACGCGCGACGGCGATGCGTCGCACA